TTTATAGAACAAGCTCAGTTGCAAGCTCACAGAGTTGTTTCTTGGGCTGCTCATCGGCACGCTTTGCCGCTGTGCTGATGAACATTTCTGGGCAAATGAGAGGCACAAAAAGCCGCATTCCTAAATGGCAAAGCTGAGAGATGTGTTTTTGTTCAGAAAATCCTGTTTGTCCTCTCCAAAGAATTGAAGTTGCATCATCCTAGTTATAGACTCTTTCAGAGCAGGTCCAAAAAAGAGTCTTGTCAGGTGGCCTTCATTGTTCTCATCGGCATCTCGAAATTCTTTGCCGCTTTCCTGCAATCACAGACATCCGCCAGCTGCTGGCACTTGCCGCTGAATCAGCACGAAAAACAAGCTCATCCTTTGCATCGGAGTTGAATCATCTACATATCAAGCTTATGAACAACATTATGAACAGAGCAGTAGCAGCGTCATCTTTGACTTGGCTCTTTTTCACTTGTGGAGTGGCACAGTGACTTGCAGGTCAAGTACTCCCCTTGGCTGCCTGAAGCGTCCATTGCCGCGTTGCTCCTCCACACCGTGTATATACTAGTGGTGCCGGAGCAGTCAAAAGATGAAGAGGCATCTCAGGCTTGTGGGCAACAAGTGAGTGTTGTGTTGTGGTCTTAGTTGCTTGTCACGAAAGCTGGTGTGATGCTGAGTTCTTCTTTGCTTTGCGAATTGTTTTGGGATGAGCTTTGTGCCCTAAAGCTTTACATTTCACAGCCAGGGGGGTTAACTCTGAGAGGGGACGCATAGGCAATCCTGTTGTGAAGACTAGCAGACTTCAGATGATGCAGGTGTCGTCATTGACCCAACGTCACCCCAAGAAACATGAAGATTATATATTGAAACGAATGTGTTCCGCCAGAGATCCTTTTTGCATGCTTTCAGAAGGTTTTTCGGACACCTGCTTCCAGACACCGATGTCACGAAAACCCAGTGTTGATCTGCTGCCGATTTGTTGCACTGTGCTGTTGGATTGCCGTGCAGTTTTGCTGGTTTTCTGGAATGCTTACGGGTCGCTTCTGGCGGCTTGTAGACTCTGGTCGCAGTTTTGGTTTGCTGGTCTACTGTGCTGCCGTTCCGCTTTGGCGTGCTGCTTTGCTGCTGTTCTGCTTCTGTTCTGCTGATGTGCTGCTCTTTTGTTGGGCTGCTTCTGGTCTGCTGCTGTTTTGGCGCTGGGCTGTTGCTGGTCTGCTGGTGGTTTGCTGCTGTTTTGTTGCTGGTTTGCTGCTGTTGTGGTTGACTCTTATCGCTTTGGCTAGCTTTCGACCTCCCTCCCGCTGGCCTCAAGTTGTAACATTGTTCCATATTGGAGACCGCCTGAGGATGAATCCTATAGGATGCATTTTATTCTGTACATACGTTCTTTCAAGGCGACGAAGCAAAACGCTTGGTACATTTGGGGATAGATCATGATCGATCATTCGCAGGAAACCAATGTCCGCCTTAGCAATCGCTCCAAGCCCGAAGCAGCAGGTGCCAGCTGCTCCAGCTGCTTCAAAGGTGCCACGAGATTCCAAAAAGCTCGAGAAGGTGGAGAAAGCCGAGAAGCTGGATAAGGCGGAGCTTGACTGTCTTAGATGCACCAGGACGAGACGTGGGTGTCAGTGCAATCACAGTTGTTTGGGGTTGAAAGGCCTCAAGGGAGGTGTCCTCTTACATGGTGAATCAGCCATCCGCCTTTGAAAGCCACGGGAAAGGGAACCGAGAACTGAGCCACTCCTTTCAACGAAAAAAGGGCACGGTGTCTTGACTAGAGGATACAGCTTAAAGCCTTAAACTGTCTGACTTGTTAAACATACCTTGTTTGGCTTTCACTCTTATCTCTGGGGAGTTTGGTGATCAGAGAATTTGACTTTGAGGCCAAGCCCAAAGCTCGCAAGGGCTTAGCTAGCTTGGACGTATCCCGCTGGGCAGATCTCGAGGCCGGACATTCTCACCTTGTTTTGCTTTGTTGGGCAAAAGATAGAGATTCCAAAGCAGCCGGATGCATTTGCCATGCCATCGTGGCAGCTCACGAACTTTGCCAGGAGGAGGATGAGTTTCAGGAGGTGTTGGCTGCGAAACTTGGAAATGCTAAGCCATCGACAGCAGCTGAAGCACCTGCAGAAGCCGCCAATACTGCTGCTGTGCTGTCAGAGGAGGCGGGCGATCGATTCTGATCCACTTTGCTTGAGCAATACTCGGCTAAGGTGTGTTGGGTCTGGGCTGTGGGGCTGTGGCTTTTGTTCTTTCACTTGGAGGGGGCTGCGAAAAATGGCTTGTAGATCAGATTGTGCCTTGATAGAGGTATAGGGTCACACATCTCGCTAGTGTGTTTGGGTTGTTGATCAAGGAGTCAAGCTTCGAATTGTCAAGAATTGCACGTTAGTTGCAGGGTTTCAGAGGGTGAGACGAAAGCACGCTTGCAGATATTCCGTGCGGCAGGTGGAGGCCGTGGAGGCAGATCCAGAGCCAGACAGGCAGGATGATTGGACACTCAATGAAATCCATGCACGACAGGTTTCGCAATCCATATAATTGTGCCGCCAAGTGATTCCTGCAAAAATGTTCCAGGCCCAAAAGAAAGGCTAAAGCAAAGAAGCCACGGGAAGGCGAGATTCCGCACGGTCGAAGCGAACGGAAAAGATCCGAATCAGCGGATATGGACATGTCCTGCTCCTATTGGATAGGTTGTACTTGAAGCAGCGAAAAGGACTTGGCAACTTGGTAGTCATATATTCATATAATACATAGTAATACATCGTATATATATATATATACATATTGTGAATTTGGGTTCAAAATTTGAAATGGTTCAAAGGACATATTAATTTAGGCATTGGGATCTGGAGACACATCTCTTTCTCAGCTGGAGCCTTTGCGGCAGGGGGAGTTCGAAAGGATGAGACGCCCAACCCGCTGGGGGGACCTGGATCTGCGAGATGAAGCTCCCGCTTCTTTTTCCTTGCCAATGGACGGTCCAGAAGTGAAGAATGCATGTTTCGTAGACTAAATCAGCCATTTTGTTGCACATTGTTTCAGTGCAACATTCTTGTTATTTTTTTGAGCGATCGGTTTCTTGGTCACAACTTAAAGCAGGTTATTTGATGGCATTGCTCGGTGAGGGTTTCTCAACAAGCTGGGTTTGCTGGCTTAGGGGTGAACTCTTCAGTTTCTTTCGCGTTGGTTGGTCTTTGCTTGGTGCAAATGCACCGTTCACTTCCCCAAATCAGCCCAGCACAAGATCTAATCACCCCCCCAGTCCAGGGTTCCAGGAGGGCGCCCTCCAAGCAGCAGGCGAGGAGAAGAGATGTCATGAGTCATTCGGGTAGCGAGACCGAGATGTGGGAGATGGAGTCGAGGAGAGAAGCGACAGGTTTGACAGCATGGCATTTCAAGATATTCGATGATTTTGAGAAACATTGATTTGATCTAAAGGTGTAAAACATTGGACACTGTGGGGATGCTACTTGGAGTGATGTCTTCACGGGTGACCAGAGGGCAATTGTGGTCCAAGCATGTTTGTGTTCTCATAGTGGCACTGGTGTGCTTATTACGCCGTCTACTCCAAGCATGTCCATCTTTATGTCGGATCTGAAAGCCCCGCACCACCATTTTGTCCCACTCCTCCAGGCCTTGTCGTCCGGCGTGTCAA